CTTATGTAATTTTCTTTTTATTATATGAAAATGCCCTCAAGGCTTTGTTATTCTGTTGATTGGGATGTTGAAGTATAATTTCTAAAAAATTATATTCCTTATTCTATGAATGTATTATCCTATAAGTGAATTTCGAATTTAGGAGTGGTAACATAGGATGTCAAAGATCTTTTACAAAAAAGAGTTTGTCAAAAGGTGTTTTTGAGTACATGATTGATAATAAATATTTATTTATTTTGCTTGCTTAACAAATTTAAATGAGATGAATGTAAGATTTTATCTATTAATTTTTTCTTTAATTTAATAATTAAATGAATCAAGTAGTAAAACAATAAATATTTTTAAAATAGTGTGATGTTAATTTTAAAAAAAATAATAACAAGAAAATAAAAATAAAAATTTTTTTTTTTAAAAAGTGTTAGTTTTTAGAGTGAATTTTTTTAATAATTATAAAAATTAAAAATAGAAATTTTTAAAATATTAATCTTTAGAGAGAGAAAATATTTATTTTTTATATTTTTTGAAAAAAATTAAAAATCTCATTTACTCTTCTCTCTTACTATTAAATATTCAAACAAGGGAGGAGTCTAATTTTTTCCTTTGTTTTTTTCTCTTTCCTTTCAAACTCTTTCTTTTTAATCTTTTAAACTCTTAAATAAAATCTTAAAATAATGTTGAAAAAATAATAATAAAAAATACATAAAGAAAGTAAAGTGTAGTTTTCTATTTAAAAAAAACAAATATTTTTTATTATATAAAATTATGAGTTATAGATTTATTTTTTTTTACATTAATTACTTTGATTTCCACTGTCATGATGCTTGTCATGATGCTTTTCAAATTTCTTTAAACAAATTCACTATTTCTTGATTCTACCATGACATTAGATTCACAGACTTAGAGTTTATAAATATTGTAATTTTTTAAGCACTTTCTAAAATGATACCTTTTGAAGTTATTATTCTAATTTTCTTCTTTTATGATCTGAATGATCTCTTAGAAAGCTTAACATTCATGTTACTCCAATATTTGGTGGTCTATCATAATTTTGAACCACGTCACTTATTTCAAGCCTATTCTTAACCTTTTTAGGGTCTTAGACAAAATAGAAAATTAGGCTTATTACAAAAAAATTATAAAATATAATAAAAGCATATGCCAATAATTCTATTAAAATAATACGACTTTTTTAAGAGAATATAATTTTTTTTAATAAAATTACAAAAAAAAATATTTTTTCAATCAAACAACTCCTATGTTATAATTAACTTCAAAAACACAAAAAATTATAAAAAATAGGTTCTATGAATATTTTGATATGTAAAATCATTAATGATAACATTAACTCAATATTTTCTAAAAATTCTTTCTCAATTGATAAAATTATAAGATTATTCAACCGTTCTTGTGACATTGATGACTTTAAATAGGTTTTGATCAACTTTAACTTTAAAAAGATTCTTTCAGCTAATACTATAGTTTTTGAGACTGTAAAAAAATAAATCTATAAGTAATTAAAATATTTGGATAGCAATCTATAGATTTGACAAACTCAAGAACTGTTTAATTTTTGAAAAAAACTAAAATTCTCCATGAGTTTTAATGCTAAGAAGAATGGAATTTGAGAATTAAATGAAGTTTTGAGTTTAGAGAAGTTAAGAAGTTAACTACATTTATAGCAAGTGAGATGCAAAAAATTGAAAGGTCTTTTTCATTTTTCTATTTTTCTAACTACAAACTGCAATTAAAAGTTATAAATTTTTTTCCACATGAAAGCAAAATGCAGATTTTACTTTGGGCCCCTTTCAAGCCTAAGCCTTGACTGATCGCACTTCTAAACTACCTTTAGGATTTAGCCTACTTATTTTAATTAGTCAGTAAATTAATTTTTTATTTATTTAATTTATATTTTTAAAATTGACATCATTAGGTCCAAATTAAGCCATCAACGCAAGATTGCCGGTGGTTTAATACGTTCCCTAGCTACATGACATACAATCGATGCTTATTCTAACATATTTATAAATAAGTTAATCTGACATTATTTGATATCATTGCATTTACCATATCAAATAGTGTTTTATTCTTTCTTTTTACCAAACCACTTTGTTATGCGGTATAAGATGCACCAATAATTAGTGCACTATGCTTCTCACAGTAGCTAGAAAATTTAATAGAAAAACATCCTCCTTCTGTGTGTTACTTCTAAGAATCTTAAATTTTTTTCATTAATTTTTTGGTTTTCTACTACGACTTGATAACATACTCGATACATCAAAGACACAATCTTTTGATTTCATCATATAAACATAGATATATACGTAAAATAATTATCAATAAATGTAAAAATATTTCCTTCTTTAATTTTGTTAGAACTGATAATTTCACAAATATCAACATACACACGTTAAAGGTTCTCTGTATAGAAGGAAAGTAAGTTCTAGTTATTTTAGCCTGAATAATTTTACCATATAATTGATAATTTGATATCAGAAATCAAGCCACATACATATTCTACTAACTTTTAACTACATTAATATGCCAATCTATCATGCCATAAGGTTGAAAAAATGTCCAACGTGTACAGATATAGAAACACATATTATCACTAATGCCGACAAAACCCTCAGGCGAATCAACTTCAATTTTCATAAATAATAGTAATAATAAAAGATCACAAAACCACTATAAGAAACATGAAAATATATATAATTGACCCTAACATCTTTACGTATAAGCGGTCCATTTACTATTTTATGCGTCTAAGCATACCATATTGCATTCTTAATAATTTCGTATTAAAATAATGAGATGTATTCGAAACTTTTCATATAGGAATCATAATGTTGAGAATCTAAGCATCAATTAGGTTTTATTGACTTATCCAATATGAAAGTTAGAAAGAGTTCTGGAATTTTATAAAAAAATTAAAACCTAACGAATTCGAATTTATAAAAGAAGAAATGCTATTGCCACAAAAGATTGTCAAAAACATAATTTAACCTAAAGTAAGAGCTATGTGATAAAACATTATGGTATTAGAGACTTCTTTATAGGTTTGTTTAGGTCGGATCTGTCTCAGAACATGAAAATGCACAAATGTGCTCCACTTATGTGAGCAGTACGAATAATAAGATTATAATATTATCCAATAATTAAATTAAGGGCATTGGTGTATGTGTTTATTATTATATGGATATAAGTGGAATGGCAGTGGGGACCAAACCTTAATTAATAAGCCTTCGATTCTAAAACTGAAATTCTTCAATAGTAGTTCCGGCCACATGTGTATAACATATGATTTATAATCTTCTACTCACCTTTATTCCAACCCAAAATAGAAAGGAGATGGCAAGTTCCACATTTTTAAGTGGATTTCCTCAGAAAAACCGCCACATATATACGCCATTAATTATTATTATTATTGTTGTTGTTATATCTCTTAAGCTCTATTTAAATAAATAATTTAATTAAGCACTTATTTAATAAATTTTTATGATATAAAAACTTAAGTTGTAAGTATTTAAATTCAAGGGCTATTTGTATTTAAATATATACTTTAAAAATTACTTATATAAAAAAATTGTTTGGATACGCATCTTTATATATAAACTTATATTTAAAAAACAAAAGTGAAAAATTTTAAAATCAAACAATGACTAAAATAAACTTGAAAACAAATTAAACATAATGAGTATCATTAGACTAGTGACTACGATGAAAAATTTTAAAAATTACCCACCATTCGCATATTTATAATTTTAAAACATTTAAAATTTCTAAGAATGAATTGAATACTTAACACTTAAATACTTATTATAAATGAGAAAGATAATAATAACAAATATCATATTAAAAAGATTTTAATGCAAACAAAAATATTGATTATATTTTTAATGTGTATTATATTCATAAAATGATTAATAAGAAACAAAGAAAACAATAAATAATATTACCTGTAATTTAGAATAAAACTTTCTTTTTCATGTATACAAGTGAAAAAGCAAATGAATAAAAAAATAGTAACGATTGACAAAATATTTATAACGTGCTATAAATAATAGGCCTAGGAAGGATAAAAATGTAAACGCACGACATGTTGCAAGTCATTCTAAAGGTAGGACTGAAAAGCAATGTAGAAGTTCCTTTGTGTGTCTAAAAACGAAAAAAAAAAAGAGTGATAGATTAAAATCGATAAGAGTATGAGTGAAAAAGTTCATAAACACTAAAAATTAATTCCTCTAAATAACTTATTAAAATAAATTTAAATCAACTTTTGAGAAAAACATAAATATTTTATATGAATTTATCCAAATAATAACATAAGTGCTTATGAATATGAATTAAAATAAGTTCAAATAAGCTGTACAAAAATAAATTATCTCTAATAGAACCTAATTATGTTTTGATGTGTTATACGACACGAAACAAAATTAATGTTAATAGGGAGAGGAAGTAGCATAATATAAATACCCTTAATCTAACACATTGATGTCTTTTTTTTTTCAGTAGAATACGTTGTGTGCTTGTATTTATGAAAAAAGTTAAAAATTATGTCTTAAATTTTAGCCATTTCGAAAAAAAGAAAAAATTTGAGAAATTAGGTTATTGTTATACTTCAACTATAACTAATATTACTAATTTCTTAAAATTTAAATAAATTCATTTTTTGAAAAACACAGTAGTTAAGACGGATTATATATTGTCAGATTGAAAAACTCATCATCACTTATGTTAAATCAATTCATATTTTTATTGCAATTTTTTCTCTTATAGCATGATTTATTGTCATGTCTTTATAAAAAGGGAGAACTTAGATATGATCTATTAATGTTTAGCATCACAATAAACATACCAACATTTTCACATGTGACATTCGAATCGTGTTTCACAAAATTACACATTCACTTACACACACATGTGTAATCAGATAGTCTATTTAAAACAGGTGTGTATAATCAAAATCTCTAAGAAAATAGTTTGTTATTTGACTTTAGAAAATGGTGGATGAGCAAGATAGAGCATTGCCCATTGCAAATGTGGGTAGAATCATGAAACAAATTCTCCCTCCAAGTGCAAAGATCTCCAAAGAAGGGAAACAACTAATGCAAGAGTGTGTGACAGAGTTCATAAGTTTTGTGACTGGTGAAGCATCTGACAAGTGTCATAAGGAGAATCGCAAGACCGTTAATGGAGATGACATCTGTTGGGCTCTAAGTTCCTTAGGGTTTGACAACTATGCTGAGGCTATAGGAAGGTACTTGCATAAATACAGGCAACTTGAAAGGGAGAAAATGACTAAGAACAGGCTCGATAGCACCAAAGAAAATCATGAAGGATTACCAACAAAAACAACCACACAACTTGAGCAGCAAACTCAAATCGATCTGTAGGGTTACTAACAAGTTGGAAACCCTCCTGCAAATCTTTCTAGATCAACATATAGTTTGTCTTTCTGAAGATCAAACATGGTACAACACAAAGAAGGTTTCTAATTTTGTTGGATATTGTGAGGTAATTTGCAACTATATATACATCCTGTCAAATAATTAAGGGGACTCCCTTTTTAAGTTATCTTTTAAATAGTGTCCCATTGTATTGAGCTTCTCTAATGTTGTATATCTATTAAAGACTACCCAATTAATTCCTGCAGCTCTCAATTTTCTATGATTAGTAGCAGTGGTTCATTGATAAAATAGATCTGATTCATCTTGTGTTAATTTGCACAGGTATTTTTATCAGGTATTTGCATCATATTGAAATATTGAGTTCATTTGCCATGATGTTATTATGAAGATTGGAAAGTAGATTTCTTGTTATCCTTGGAAAAATATGATCGTCATGTTCAAGACTAAGAGGAAAATTTTTCTAAGACATATCATTAATGAATTTACTTTTTAAATCCAGCTTATACAGTCCAAATCCAGCGAAGTTTTGAAATGAATTGAAAGGACAAGTCAACTCGTAATGAAACTGATTTTCTCATCCTTTTTCTAGTTCTTTTTATGGTTCCTTTTCTTGTATTTTAGCACTACTGCACTAGAAATTTCTTCTCTCTAATCTGGCATATTGATCCGGGGATTCCTTCAACCATTCATATGCTCCAGAACTACAACTTCCCTACGTAGTGATGTAATTTATTGTCCTGCATCTTGAGTCAATCACTATAATTTAGAACGCTAGTAAACTGTTTATACAGAAAACAAGTTTAGTGCTCAAAATCCTCATGACCAAGCCTTCCCTCCATTAAAATACACATCTAGTATGGAAAGAAAAAGTTGATTGATGAGTTGATCAATTATGCCTGTGACAGATCTCTCAATTTCTCTTTATCTAATTATACATCATGCAGTTAGTATAGCATTTGCCATAATGAGGGTTTAACAGCGAAGAACAATATTAAGCTTACAACCAAATGCAAATAAACTTTTAGTCAGCAACAGTAAAAGGTCCTAAAATAAACTGGCACATACATGTACTAGGTTTTGGTTTTCTAACCCTAGAACCGGGGACCACAATCTCGTTGCTTTAAATGTGCATAATTAACCGTGAAAATCGAATCATATCTCAGGCATGCCTGAATTCTACTATATTTCAAATGAACTAAGTCCCATTAAAGTTGACAGCAAAGTCCTTCTCACTTTGAACTTCTGTCGGATCGGAATTAGGGTTTCAGTATGGATATGGCCTGAGATTGTTACAAACCCTTGGGACCACTTCTCAACTATTACCTTAATGGCTTATATATACTCTCTGACACATATGCATACACTAGCATCGTGAGTTCTGAGGTCTTGTACAGAACAAACTTCTCCAGCATTAACTGATAAATTCTGATGAGGAAGAAGTAATATATATATTAGAAGGATCGTGGAATTTTAATTATTTACATTTGACACTGTAACGGATGAAAACCTCAAAACCAAAGAATTTATATCGGTTTAGAATTAATATTTTGAAGGTCGTCCAGAAATCACAAAACTTTTTGAACCATCCTTGCCAATGCAATGATGGATAGTTGGCCTAATTACTTTGAAAACAGTAAACCCATCACAAGACAAGCTATATTTATGTACTACCATAATGAAAATATGGTTTAATTTCTTGATAGAATAACTGCATACATCAAAATTAGTAACGGATTATAAATCATGGAAGATTTGCACAGTTGAACACTTTGAAATGAACAGTGTTCCCATTAGCTCCGACCACGAAATTGCGGTATTGGGATTCATAACGTGCCAGCTAAGGGCAGAGCATTGTAATAGCGGAGAGGAATTATGGCTCCTTAAAACAAAAGTAAAACATTTATTAAGTATATAAATTTTTTATTAGTAAATTCTCTTGATAAATTAAGAAATTTGTTTATGGTTTTTGAACAAAACTTTTTGAACCTCAAAACCTCATAATTTTTCATACACATGTATTGCGGTATTGTGATGACATTTGTTTATGGTTTATTGTTTTAAATTTAAGCAGTTAAAGCTCAAAAATCAATGATACAAATTCAAAAAAAAAAATGAATAATAAATTTATTGCAGATAAACAATACATGTTTCATGACCTTAAAAATATTAATTATTTTGACTTCCTCACTATGATCGATCAAATTTCACCTTTACTTTTAGATAAATTTCACTAAATATATATTTTGTGTAAGCAGCCTTTCATCAAATTTAAAAAACTAATTTGTTAGTTCAAATTAATCTTTTCTTGTAAGTTATTGTTTTAAATTTAAACAAGTCTGGTCAAATATCAATAACAAAAATTTAAATAATAAAAAAGTAATATTTAAGCACAACATGTATGTGTATATAACTTGGGACGACGTACGTACATACAGCCTTGCATAAACTTCTGATTATATTAATTATTTTGCCTTTGCTTGCAATCAATCAAAATATTGCTGCCTGCACAAAGCATTCCTTTCGAGGGAGTGGAGAGTGGCAATTATCAACCAATATGGCAAACCGCGTTAGATGTGCCTTTTTTTCAGGATCATGGGCTGTTGTCCATATAAGTTGCAGAACCTCAACACAAAAAGTGGAGCACATATTCTACACAAATAACGATTTTCTTGGAGCACTTTTTCTAGGGGCTGCAATCTTTTTGTTACTTACAATAACTGTTCATCTTCAAATTTAATATTAATTTTGTGGAATTTAGTGAATGCTTGTAACTGTGGTGGCACTTTTCCATGCAGAAACTCTGAAAATTAGATTCTATAACATGACATGATAGTAAATCAGTCCAAGTTATAAATTCTTATGGTCATTTCATTAACACATTAATTAGTTTACACCAAACTTTCAAGCTGAAAGCTTCTCATATGCATGAGTTAATTGTTTTGTTCTATGAAACTTCTTAAATTTCCATCACCAAAATGGCATTTCAACCCTGATTCCGAATGTACCTTCTCTTCCACCGATCTTCCCCCATCTGTAGAAATGAAATCTTCAGCTCTAGTCATTTTTTCACGTTATGATATATTGTTCGTGCTGATTCTTTTGTTACATGAACAGTACTAATCAGTTCTTAAAACATCTAATCATTGCTGTGGATAAGAAAAAAATATCAGATATTTATTGAACAGACTATATACATACTACGAGCCCACTGGATTAATCGAAATTTCATTATCCATTTCTTGGTAGTTAGCCTTTTTTTTCCACGGTTCTTTTCCGAATTATTTCAGACTTAGAGAAACCATTGGGAACTGATGATTATGGATCGACAGCGAGCAAGTGTCTAATTATAGTTGAGTTATATGTTTTATGATTTAAGCTTTTAGAATAAAAATTAATTAGCTCAGTTAATAAGCTGGTCATAACTTTAAAAAGCGAGTTTGGTCATAACTTTACCACCAAATTATCTGTGTCTATCTTGAATCATATGACTGCCCATCATTACTTTTTCAGCTAGCATCTTAACATCCACCTCTGTCTGCCTATTACATTTTAAAGTGAACGTAAACGAGATATTTTAACTAAATAATTTATTTTTAAAAAAATATAATTTTGAGTTAAAATTTATTATTTGGATACTTAATTTTAAAGAATTTAAAATTTTAGAGATTTTTAATAGATTAAAATTAAAGAATTTCAAATTCTAATAAAAAAAAGTGAGAATTTATAATTCTTTTTTTATTTATTGTGTGTTCTACTCATATTTTTATTTAGTTGTAGTTAACTTAATAATTTAAATTTTATGTTTTTAATTAATTTTACCTTTTTTAAAAGAATGTAAGTAACTAAATTACTTTATCCAGATAAAAATATTTAAAATAAAAGAAAATCAACTATTCTATTCAAACAAAATATTTTAAAATTATACAAATTAAAATGATATAATTTAAATTTTTAAATTTTTAAAATTTTAAAATCTCTAAAATTTTTATTACTTCATCCAAACACAATTTTAGGCTTCACACAAGTAGATTTGAATAACCTTTTTTCGCAGATACCAAACTAATACATAATATCAATCAAACTTAACAGTAATAAATGTGCTACTCAAAAAAACTTGCTAGCTCAATCGGATGAAAAAAAAAAAGCAATTTCCAAAGAAAGGAGGTCGAATATAAATGTAAAATGATAGATGAAGAGAATATTAGCACCCAAATATCATTAAACATCGCTTCAAGTTCTACTCTGAACGGCATGAGATGTGGAAGCAATTATGCTGCGTTGTTTCTTTCTTTCTATGCAGAAAAAGGAAATGGCCTGGAACTGTCAGACCCAAAATGCATTAGCGTTTGATTTTTATTTATTTTTACTTGATATCGTTGCACTAATATTTGCAAAAAATTGTAACTTTGATTATTTTGTTCCTTATTTTTAATACTTTGTAAAGGAAATTATAAAAGAAATTATTACCGTTTAATTCACGGCATCTTCAAAATAGAAAATAATCTAATATTTCTGTATTAATTAAAAAACAAAAATTAACTTTAAAAATAAAATACAAATCAAATCAAATGTAATAAAATTCCAACCAAGAAATGGAATTAATCCAGATTATATAACTAAATGTTTAGTTAAAAGCTCACCAAAAAAGTGTTTAATTAAAAATGTTCACAGCATTGATTAGCAAGGGGCAAAACAAACAAATACAAACCACTCAAGCAGCAGGACTAGACAAAATAAAAACATGAACACCAGATTTTTGAACCATAAGAAGAGACTGCCAGAAAGTTAATAATATATATAAATAACAAAGAAATAAGAAATTAGAGAGAAGACATAAAATTTGGACTTCACTGTTGTACAAATCAATTTAATCTTGATTCTCTCCAAATCAGTTATTAACTGCTCAATTTCCTGAATCTAGATTATTATAAATGGATTTTAAGTTAAGGTTTCTATTCTCTCAATCAGACTATTTGCTTGATTAAATAGAGGGAAAAGAAACCCTTATTTCTAAATACTTAGAAGAAGAAGCAAATATATTTAGGATTGAAAACTGGCAACTAATCTCTCCTTAGGCTTAGCCACTGTTGAAATCATTTACTCTTTTAAGCCAAACGCAAATACAAGCCTCAGCATAGAATGCGAGACGCGCGCAGAGGAAGAACAGCTGCATCGGTTAATACAAGCCTATATTTAGTAACCGTGATTTCTGGTGACCTTTTTCATGCAATCTCTGCATATGATTTTCATCAAATTTTTAAGAATATATTGTTTTGAATTGAAATATTAGATTCATTCTACATTCTAATCTTAGATTCGTTAAATAAATTACGCGAAGGATATATAACTGAGCACTGATCGATTACTATGAGATCAAAATAGATAAAATCGGACAAAAAGGTGAACTCGATCTAATGAATTAGGGCTCTGCCATGGTTATTTGGCTACACTCAAACTCAAATCGTACAATGTAAACATCAATAAGAGTGAAGAGATTACTGAAACTTACAAAAAGTGAAGATTATAATAAAGGGAGATGATGATTTGGACAAGATTCACGTGTTTGCATTCTCCCTCCGCTACAGCATGACAAATTAAGCGCAGATCCAAAACAGTGCCAATTGTATAAGCTTATAGATTATAAACAAATTCAAAGACTCTTCTGTTCGCTATATAAGTGTACAGTACAGTATGCGATAAGATATATACTCTTATGAAAAGTAAAAAGTGGCGTTTGTGTTTTGAGAATGATAAATGTGTGTGTGAGAGAGAATGATGAAGAGTTTAAAAAGTAAGAAAGGGAAGAGAAAAGGACGGTTAAAAACATATAATTAAATGAGTTTTGAAAAAGTTTATAAAACCTTAAATTCTCATCTAAAAATTCTCAAATAAAAATAATTATTGCATAACTCTTTTCTTAACTTCCAAAAATCAACTCACACAATTTTTTAATAATTTGTAAAATTATATATACAAATAATACATCTGGATCCTTTCAATTTCTCTATAAAAAGATATATTTATAAAATTGTTTTAACTTATTAATTTTTATTAACGTTAAATACTTGCTTCCAAAAAAAAGTTAACTCAAGCTCTATTATATAATATTTATATCATATATCTCTTTTCGGTCACCAAAACAATAAGTTAGTTAGTGAAATAGAACAAAACGAAAAGCATCTTGATTTTTATATACAGAAAAAAAATAACGGAAAGTAAAAATTATTTAACATAATATGAGAAGGATAAATTTAAACCATTAGATGCATAATTATAATTAAAACACATTATTTAAGTGAGTTTTTTAAAAATTATGTGATATTTTTAAGTAACCACTTTAACTTTAAACAAAATTTAACGTTGATCATACTCCAAGAAAAATAATTAGAGTGGCAAAAACTATGAAACAAGAAAAACTTACAAATTAAAAAAAAAGAGCAAGACCTTAATAACAAGAAACCAAGTCCCCAGACCCCTACTTGTTAGTTATTTTCACTTAATATTATTATCTCATTTTGTTAAACACGATTGGTTTATGAATTTTGACATACATTGAGAGGCCTTCTCCATCCATAGTTTTCGGTCAATAATCCCTTAATTATCATCAAGATTTAGTGTTTAGGATTTAACTATTTAAGATGAATGAACCCTTATTATCAGGTGGTGGTGGGTATTTGTCGTCTTCTTTTTTTGGTTGATAGGTATTTGCCTTCTTTAGAAGGGAACGAAAAAACGGCGAGCATTGAGCAATTATTGGGTTCGGAAAGAAGGAAAATTGGTCCAGAATTTTGTCTTGATAATGTTCGTATTTCAATCTTGGTAGCAATGGAGTGAAATGTTTCCAGTGAGTCTTATAGTTATTTATTTCTCTTTCCCATTTCTATTCTCAACAAACAAGAAAAATGCTCTAATTTCACCCTATCTCCATCCATCTTTTTTTTTCCACCTCATTTCTATCCAAACAAATAATGGTTATAAGCCACAAGATCTGATACCACTACTATAACGGGGGCCACTAGGTTTCAAGGAATATACACACCTAAACCCTGCACCTTAACATCATTCTGCCTAATCAAGTCTACAATCAGTGGACAACTCATCATTGGTTGATACATCTCATGCTAGGTAAGGTCTAATGAAGTGCAGGGAACTGAAAGCAGACTTAAAGGGTTGTTTAGGATATAAGTTTTTTGGCTGACTATCATAGACAAATTTTTTTGTTGGATTTGATATCCTTTTTGGTTATGTGCAGTGGACATATGTTGTGTAAACGAGGTTCATTTTTTGTACACTACACAAATAGATAGTTAACAATGTTTAGAATATGAATATAGGGGTTGCTTTCAGTGGCGGCACTTTCACATATATTTTGCATTAATGTTTTGATCAAGAATTGTAACGAGTGCAGATCAATGGAAGTCCACGTACATAGGGGTTATAGTTTGCCTTGAATTCGATCCATATATATCTATCTAATATAACAAACCTTTGATTTATTCGTAGGAATACCTTCTTCTTCTTCTTCTTTTTTGTAGAACTATATATTATGGAACAACATTTTGCTGGAATTAAGGATTATAAATACAAAATTATTCTTCCTATGGTATGCCATTGACAATATAGCATGTTCAAAGAAGGCCAAGAACAGTGTAAAATTTCGTACAAATTCAAATTGCATTCCAAACGTAGGGAATAATGGTAAAATACTCAACAAATTACACATATATACCCACCAGAGTAGCAGAACGTTGCAGTAATGGCTCAAACCAAAGTTTCAAAAATACACCATATCCATATGCTAGTAAATCCTTATCTACCCCTATAGAAATGTCTTCCACCCACATCATTTCCTAATATATACAAATTTAACGCCAACCAACCACCTAAGTGATAAAATTTATATGTTATTCTTTAGGTGCTGTTTATGTTGTTTATTAATTAAAATTAAAATTTTATTTTAATAAAATATTTGTATTTAACGCTATTGGAAATTACTTAAGTAAAAAAGAAAAATACCTAATACATATTTTCAAAACATAATATCATTTCGCCTTAACAAATGCATTGTTCTCATTCAATGCCAACTTGTTGACTTTACCTTTTTCCATATAAAAGAAGAGCTGAAAATGTCATTTCTTACCATCACTGTCATCCCGCCACAAGAAATGAATACCCACAATATGGCTCTCTCTCCTGTGAAAAAAAACTCGGTACTTCAGCTAGAGGCGCAATTTTGTAGATGAATACTAGATAACATAATGAGGTATTGATCTTTCCAGCTTGTATTGTAGTTCCCCCAGAGAATGGTATATTTGGATTCTTGGTGTTGGGAGCAAATAGAAGAAGAATAAAGAGAGCAAAGCAACACAAGAATTCGTGGTTCGGTACATAATGTATGTATATCCACGGCGACAATCACATTAAAAAATTATTTAATTCACTAAGAGTTTGTTTAAAAGCATTATACGGTATTACTTATACAATAACAATAAAGGAAAAATCTCTTAAAAATACTAAATAAGAGACTAAATAAGAATCAGTGAGATGAGAGTTAAATTGGACTACACAATCCTAACACTTGATAATTCAAAGGTGTACACTACCGCATTCCTCGACACCCACATTTGGGAGTAGTACCCCAACTATGATGACACCTTGTTCCAACACTAGCTGCACTCAACTCACTCCTGCTAGATGCTTTTATTCGAGCGCTGATTCCACATAGTTAACATTCCGATTCCACAGCCACTTACAGCTATCAAACATTGCCGAACAAATTGTGATTTCTTGGCTCAGAGTGATAAAGAGAATCGCGAAGCAAATGAAGAACTGGAAATTTGCGTTTTCAAATGCAAACGCAGACACATTCCATTTATGCCACTTAAGTCACTAAAGATGTCACCTCCAAAATTATGTTAAATGTAATGAAGTTAACTAAGGGATTAACATGACCTATGTTGGTAAAATCTATCAAAGGGAAATTAACCTAAGGATTAATGCAACACATGTTGGTAAATTTTAAGAATAAAAGTAAGTTTGAATAATTATTTATTTACGCTTATTTGATAAACTCTTTTCCAAACAGTAATTTATATAATAAGTTTAGCAATAAAACTTATTGAAATAAGAAAAAATGACTTATTTTAATAAGTTATACGAAGTATAAGTTGAAAACAATTTAGAGATTCATAAATTGTTCATGACTTCTTGCTAATAGATCCTAATTTTAAATTTCTTAGTTTTAAAATTCTCTTAATTACTAAATAAAAAATACATTAAATTTTTTCATATTTTTAAAGTAACAGATGCTTACACTATTTTATTTAATACTCATTTTATAAAATATTAAAGAGAATTATAAGATATGTACGAGTATATAGCAAAGCTCAAATTTTAAATATGTCTAACTCTTACGCTGTCAAGTTCATTTGGTTACGTAGGTCTAACCCTGCCTCCATTTCTGTTCTGTAAGTACAGCTTAACATTGGCCATGTTGAGTCATTAACCTCGCCCACAAAATGAATTTTGACAATCTTAAGGTTGAAACTTCAACTAGAACTCAGACGAATTCAAATTCAGTGGTAAAGAAGCATAGATGGAGAGGTAAAGATACTTTCACAAGGTACAAGCTCAGTCAACTTCAGTAGCCTATCTGAAAAACAAGTTTTCACAAAGTTCAATCTTAGTCAACTACAGTTTCGGACAAGATCCCTAAAAGGCTATAATAATGCGCAAATCAAAAAGTGCACGCCGAGTAAAACCCATCTATCAAGCCTTAATAGATATACCTCTCCAGCATTCTTTTATACATGATACTCTCAATTTTCCTAAAGACTGGTTAGTTTATGAAGCCTTTGAAGAATAGAAACCGCAGGCAGCTTACCGAGGAGCCACACAGCCACTTACATATTTCATAAGAATGAAGCACTATCAACTCTTATCTAAAACAAATAAGATCAATTCATTTGATTAATTACAGCTTCCACAAATCCCCACCCATCATCAGCATCAGGTCCTACCCAATAACCAGATATAACTATCTCAGTATAATAAGCTACATCCAAGTTGTGTGAACAAGTTTCATGTAGAAATCTCGTGTGCGACATGAAGCAACGTTGGCAGCTTCCTTTCCCGGATAACACACGTTTATTTGAACTGCAAGATCCAAGAATCTTTTGAGCTGCAAATATAGTATATGCTGTCAGATTAACAAGGCTATAGTACAAACGTGATGCAATTATTCAAAACAAAAAACTCTGCCTTTTATAAAACTCCAAAAAGTTGCATATGTTTGAATCCTGAAGTTGAAGTTGAAGCTAGCAAAGATATATGTATGAATATACTAGCAACATGTTTCTGTACTCGTGTAACCAAACATTACCTAACAAGATAAAATCATTTAACTTTCAGTTTTGCCTTATAATTTCTCATATCCATTGTCGTATCTCCCCATGCATGTTTTCTGAAATGCATATAAATTCCTAATGGACAGGGGTGAAAGAAGACAACAAAGATCTAGAAGGGAAAATTAACCCCACAAAGAATGGATAATTCTGAAATCTGAAGTAAATTCTGGTCTGAGGCAGCCATGACATAAGCAATATTACTATACAATTAACTCTGAAAAAATACTCCCAAGCAGAAAGTTTTCAACCCAGGCTGCAGCTTAGAACATTGTAATTTTGTACATTTCAAAGAATCTAAGCTAAGCTAAACCATGGGCAGGTTTTAAAATGCAATATGTCTGTTCTCCACTTTGTTTTTTAAGACTGAGGGAGAACAAGATAGGTGAGCTTCACCTTTTTATTTACAAGATTTGGCTTTTCTTTTTATCCTCTTATATCCTTCTTCTTCTTCTTCCTCATGGTCGATCTCCCTCCATAAACTGGAAATTTATAATACCTCCCACAGACATTTCTTTTCGATGCATGTCAAAAAGCAAGTGCCAAATTAAGATGCAGATTTAAAGCTCTAATCCAACCAAATGGATGAAGCTGCTCTACCCTAACAGCACGGATTTACTTCGAAGAAGCCAACATGACACCCAAAAATGATTAAATAGGCTGCAGGTTTAAATTTGATATATTGATTAATGATATTTGACAGTTTCACATTATATTCATTACTGGGGCGAAAATTCCACAATCTTGGCTGTGAACTGTGACTTTGTCTTAATGTAACAAGAAACCATGAGCACATTTGGTTTAAGGTTTGCTGAATTAATCTTTAACGTTTGAATATAATTGTTTGACGAAATTCATTTGAACTCCATATTTGCATTAAAATGTGTTTTTTCATTGAAAAATAAGAGAATTAATTTCATAAATTTAAAACAAACAGGGCTAGGATCTTATCCCAAACCGACGTAGGCATAGAAAATCAAATCAAAGTTATAAAACATTTATAAAGCAAAAAGAGTGAAAAGTTCTATAAATCAAGTTTCTAACGGCAAAGTAGATGGTAATTATTAAGCGAGCGGTCGAAAAGAAAAACCTGGACGAAATGTTGCCTTGCTTGAAAATCTACTCAGAGAAAAATCTAACTGATGCAGTCCCTGTTGGTAAGTAATCAAAAGTAATAATTATTCATTTGCACAATATCATATAGAATAAAAAATATAAATAATTGGTGCACTTTGAGTTTGAATTAGCCTACAGCCAAATGAAAAAATATTATAAAATTCACTACTAGAGCCAAGGAACAAGAGTGGATGCTTATGCACATTGTGGAACCAAAATGGGTTTATGGCAATGAGAAAAGGTACTTTACTCCATTCCATTTTTACTCTAAAAAGCCAAAACTTGAGCGGAACCAAATTGAACAAAGCTGGGTTATGTTATGTGTACTACACAAAGAAAGTACCTTGTTTAGTGATAGCATTGGTGAAAAGCGCAGAGGAACGACGAAGCTCGTGGAAACTAAGCACGCCATTTTGAAGGATTCTGTTCAACTTTCGAGCCTGCACCGTGCGGGAACGGTAACTAACATTCGTCGAGCGGCGAAGGACCCAATGTCATTAGGCTGGCCCAATCCAGATTTTTATTTTAGGTTGCACCAAGCTGGCTATCTGGGCCTGTGCTGGCCTATTAGCTAGCCCTACATAAGTTATATGGATTATTTAGCTTTGTTCCTGGTCCATGCCCTAAAAACACCATATTCAAATAATCTTATCTTAGTTGATCAAACTAATAATGATAATAATCTTATCTTATATATTTACCCAAAAGAATCTTATCTTATAAAAAAATATCTCCCTCTTCGTTATTTAGAAATGATATAACCTCAAATAATTCAACTTATCTATTAATTTTATTTATGGAGGTGATTTTTTATATATATACTTTATTCTAGATTATTTGTGACAGAAAAATTTGAAGGGAAGTGAAAGAAAGGATAATTTTTTTATTTTAAATAAATATATTTTAAGTTTTTTTATCAAAATAAATTGCATAAAATAATAAATTAACATAAATTTAATATATTTATTATTATAAATAATATATAATTCTCTTCTTTTTAAAATTAAAAAATATGACTTGTGATACTTATTCAAAACTGGTAAATGATAGGTAATTTCACTTTCATACCATTTAATTTTTCTTTCCTCATAAGCCACGTTGGAAATCTTGAAATCAATTATTCATAAAGATGGAAGTGTTTTTAAAATTTTGGAACAATTGAAGTGACGAGCTATAAGATAAACTTCATCGTTTATACCAGCCTCTTTGTCAATTCGAAAGTCTTGGGTCTAAATATATGTTTGATTTGTTGATTTATAATTGTTGTTGAGATTTATTGGCTTAACCAGAAAATGATGCAACTATTACTAGCCAAAAGATTAAGGGACTAAATACTCGCAAACAACTTATAAAAATATTTTATAATTATCATAAAAAAAAAATGTCAACTTGATTTAAGCAGTTTTTTTGTTATAAATTATAAAAATAAGTCATTTTTAACTTATTTTAATAAGTTTTATGATTAAATGTATGTCATAAATTTTTCTATTATTTTTTATTAAACACTTAATTAAATTTGTATACCTAAATGCATCCAAAATTGCAGTTATGATTGTTAAATAAAAACCCGCCTTTAAAATATTTCGAACTACTTTTAACATTATTGTCCCATAAAAAAAAACCACTTGGGGGTACTAATATGTGACACGATTAAATAGAAAATATACAGACGTCACTTTAAAATAAGAAACCTTTCTTTAATTTTGTCAAATTAATAGAAGGTTTACATGACTGTAGCAAAACTACATGAAAAAAAAAAAAAAAAAAAAACATGAAAAACAATAGATGGATGTATTTTGAAATGCTAAAACAATTTTAGGGTTTGAACGTCAAAGGTGGACCAATAGATTGCAAAGTTGAAAAAAAGTGATTAAAAAATCATTTAAATTTTAATGAAATACAAACAAGTACTAACATATGGATTTATTAACGCCTTCTCCTACCATGTTCTCATGATCGTAACTTACATTGTGATTCTCAAGCGTACACCGATACCTCAGACGATCGATCCATCGTTAAAGAGTGGTGGAGGAAAAGATTGACTATCATAATCAATAACTTCTCGCATAAATGGAACTGTGGGAGAAAAGATTTGTAGTTTAAAAAGAATTAGCTGTTGATCATCTCCAGAAGTGAAATGTTGCAACAATAAAATATTAAAAACACTTCAAAACACCACGTGAGCACAGAGTATTAATTGAAGCATTTTCGTACACCATATTATTTGAGGCAATAAATTCATTTGAGCGTAAACAAATCATACAAACAGCAACTGAGGGCCATAAGTGTAGTAACAATATCAATAAATCAGACTCACTAACGCTCTTGGATCTAGGATGAGAGAATATATAGACAACAGATCATCCTTCATGTCCAAACAGAAACATAAAAATTGCCATCCAAAATTCAGAAGATAAGTAGCTCAACTGAAAGGAATATATAGCTAGACAAGAGATGTTATGTTGCTTCATTTGAACTCTTTTTGGACTTGTGCTTTGATTTCTTCTCCCGCTTTTTGCCCCTGTAAAACAATCCAAAATTATCATAAAACACGAAATTTTCTCTGTAAACATTTTTCTGAGGTAGTGGGGATAAGGGCTGGATGTGTAGGACAGGCACGTAAGGGTAAAAAAGTACTCGTCATGAGAGCTGTGACCCCAGCAAGACTTCAGTTTTCTGTTGATATGCTTCAATTCCTTCTCCGAAGGACTTTTGTATTTTCTAACCTGCATATTGCCAAGGCCACAATGGTCCATGTAAAAACCGCATTCCCAGCTAATACAAAGTGTTGATTTGGAACTATACATCAATCATTCAGTCAAAGAATGAGAAAAAATTACCCAAGAATCAATGGCATTCAATGATTCAAAAAGCTCAGACATTGTATGCATGGAATTCTGACGGGAAAAAATGCTGCTCAGATAACTGCAAGCAGCAGTGTAAGGGTGAATGTCTCAGCAGAAACATAAATTCAGATCAAAGAATATACTACAAGATCACATCGGAGCAGGCCAATTAAAAGGAGAGGGGGAGGGGTCAGAGTAAATTATTGTAAAGAAACATGGGAAGCAATAACAAGTACCTATCAAAGTCAATAACTTTACCGAGTGCATTTGAGTTGCGCAAAGCAGCCAAGGCCAACTGCATCAAAAGACTCAAACATTTAGTTAGATTTTGACGTAAAAGGTTTAAAACAAAGTTGGACATTGATAAGAAAATGTCTTGTTGCAACTCAACATTTATGAAAAGTATAGCCATGATTTTTTTCCTCCTTAATCCTTATGATTTAGAAAACCCTGGCAAGCATATTTCCAATTTAGGAACAATCAACTGAAATTAAAAATTAAAAATGGTTATTCAATTTAAATAAAGTGATTAATGGTTGGTGACCACTCTTTCTCAAAATTGGTTCATTTATTTTCATCAGGATTTCCTAAATTGTAATTTTTCACACACACACACACACAGATATTGTCTAAGTTGTGAATTGTGATACAGATTATTTGTTTTTGGCTGCTACTTGTAACAAACAACACACTGCTATGAGGGAGTTGCAAAAATTTACAGATTACTCTGAGAATACCTGCCCAGGAGGAAATAAAAGTGGTGCATCAGTGAGCATCATTTTATCAATTTCCAATCTTGCTGTATCTTGCAAAGTCTACATTAGGAGAAAATATATCATGGGACAAGAAGCTATTTAAACATCATGACATCAGTGAAGAGGATGCACAAATTTTCTTGTAATAAGGGAAGAACAACAGTTAAACAGATAAAAATTATTGTTCCATGAGAAAAGGGAATAGAGGAAACAATCACTAAGTATATACACTTACCCATATCAGGCGAACAAAGAATAATTAAAATCTTGATCATCCATGTAAGATTGAATGGTCAAGATTAGCCCGTAAAACTTCTCACTTGATATGCCCTATTTGTGTTTGTGTGGGTGTGGGGAGGGGGGGGGAGAGAGACAGAGAGAGAAAGAATGACTTGATATCCTTTACTTTTGAGGGCAGTATTTCATTTAATTGAAATATAAATTTTAAAAAAATCATTATATTTATATTTTTTTTAAAATCATTATATTTATATTTCAAGTAAAACACAGTTAAATGGATGGAGAACATCTACAGTTTAGACAGAAATTGCAAGCTGTGCAGTTCCCAATTAATTGATTTAACACCCCCCCCCCCCCACCCCACAAATCAACCAGAGAAATAGCCAACATATAAAATAATAAGGCAAAAGAATCCCCATCTCCTCATGCTCAACAATTAGATTGGAAAATAGGATTAGTACCTTGAGCATTTGAAGCTGATCGTCACCAGCATTGCAAAATTCCTGTTAAAGCAAACAATAACAGTTTCCACCATAAAAAAAATCATTAAAAAATGTTGAAAGAAGGCAAATCATACTCATAGACCAAACCAGACAAACCTCCATATCATTTATAAAACCTTCAACCGAGCGATAGGGTGCATAAACAATAAGATCAAAGTCCAAACTCTGCAAAACAAGGGTTTCACGTCATAGATGAACAAAACAAAACAAAAAGACATAGATCACTTTGTTATTTGAGGTCTATCCATGCCTGATAAACTATCATCTCATTATTGAGAATCATTTGATGATCCTGTGAAATCCCCTTACCAAGCTCCTCAGCTGACACATGATTTTCTTCTATCTTACAAGCAGCATATATGCAGGTCAACCTGTGCAAAAAGTTCAACGTGAGTTACTGAGAAGTTAACAAGTAAATAATTTTTTTAAAAAAGTAAAAAAAACATGCAAATCCAACACTGACTTTGATGAAGTATATGACAGCTAGACAGGAAATCAATCAAACATTAACATAAAAAATAAGTAATTTGTTCAAAAGGATAAAAAGATTAATTAAACGAGAAAGCTTATGACTAATCCACACAAGCAGTACACCTTGTGCAATCATCCTGACCAACACCAACATCCTCAACTAAATTAAGCATGAATTCACTATAATGACAAAAGAGTTTATTCCAACTTAATATTGCCCAAAAAAACAAATGTAGTACATCCTTAGTTTAGAGGTCCTCATAAGACTGAAACAAATCTTACATTATATGTTTTGGTTGATGTTCCATCACTGACCATTGCAGATAGAATCTTTTAAAATAGATAAGGGCTGTTGCCTGTATATCATAAACTATTTCAAAAGGTTGACAACAGAAAACATCGCCACCATAATCATCTCATTAACACAAAAAGCTTCACAATTACATTTACAATATCTGGAGAAGAGCTTGCATACCTGTATCTTATGAGGGAAGTGGAAATTTTTACATACTTCTTGTAGCTTGTTTTCATAAAATACTCTTATACATTGCTCTTCTTCAACACTAAGAGGTTTTGTCCGAGAATGCTTTTCAGCTGACATAAAATACTACCCTTGTGAACAGTAGAAAATAGAAATTCACACAAACAATCAAGGGGAACAAAATCTTAATGAAATACTTTGAAAACAATTAATTAAAAATTAAAAACAGAATGCCATCCACATATTGACAAAAAGATGAGCCAAAATTCCAGAAATAACATTACCATTGTCCTTTGCAGTCATCTGGGATTCAGGATACGACAATGAACCATCAACATCTATTTCCATTAGAGTTGCTCCACACTTATTAAAACAATCAATAGTTATCAGCAACCAGATAATAAACTTTCAAATGATAGTATGAAATATTATGCCTGCAAGGAATAAGAGAAAAGCAGTCTCCCGCAAAGGCCACAGTTATGTCTATAAGGCAGGGGTAAAATCTGCATACCTTCTCTAGAATTTGTTTGGCTCTTTGATTAGCAGCTCTATATTTCTCAACCTAAAACAGACATAGGTATAAAAACATGAAAACGGATAATGGTACACATAATGTAAGGGAAAATAGAATTTCCTATTTCCTTGATGCCCCTCTCATACACCAACTACATAAAATCAGTTAATTATAACATCTAATAAACTGAAATTATTAACCCAACCCACTTTTCAATTTTGAAAACAGCAGTCCTCACAATTTGCAAAAATAGTGTCTGGTTCTATAGCAATGTTATGAATTTGTGCAAAAAAAACTAGACCAAACTGTTAGTGGAAGAACAAATGTGACTGAGAATCATGACTTCAAATAATAGCAAAGACAGAAACAAATGAAGTACCAGCTGTTGCGGTGAGAAAATCCACTTAGCTCGGTGAGTAGAGGTCAGAAAATCTGCCATGGCCAATCAGAAACCCAAGCACCGGTGATAGTGCCAAGTTATTTTACCCACAAACTAAAATGGACAAACATTGATTGATTGAAAGCCCAAAGTTCTCCAAGCTGAGAGCAAGTCAGGTAGCAGTGCTAATGCTGAAAAGCATTTCGACTATCAACCATACAGATTTTAGAGGTAACTGGTAAGAAATTGCTGAATAACTAAAACCATAGGTAATATAAAATAAAAGACTACCACATATGTCTCTCTTTTAGAATGACATGATAGCACCTAGAATGAAGGACTTAAAAGCTATCCAAGAAAAACAGAAAGATTTTTCAATTGTTTCTGTGATTTATAATTGTACAGGGGGTAAGGCAAAAACGAGGCAAGGCAAGAAGATGAGGTGACTAACTAGGTCATAATTGGAGAATCATAAAATACATTAGAAAATACAGCCATTCTTACCCGCACATATAAGCAGTAGTAGGACAACACAGAAAAAACAATCTTAAGTAGCATGGCAACCCAAACATTTCCAATGGAAGAAATTAAATATTTCACTCAGTTCTTGAGAGCTAGAATTCTGAAAAGAGGGGTTTAGGGAAACGGGAACAAACAGAATAGAAGTAGAAACTTATATTGGTAGAGATTCCGCCCCAACATAAAATCACAATTATTCAAAGTAGGATATCTCATTTTCAACACTACACTTAAAATCAAAAAACATAACAGAATCAGGGAATTCCAAAACGGATCAGAATTATTTTTTTTCTTTCATTCAAATATGGGGAACATCCAAAAACGATCAACATCAAACACTCCACTCAACCAAACAAAATCCCTACCATATAAGAATCCGGGAGCATCATTAACCATTCAAAGTCATATTTCCGGCGACCAAAACTGAACACTTCAAATTGCAAAACCTCATAAACCGATAGAAAAAGAAAAACAAAAAAGAAAATCTTTCAACTCCTAAAAAATCGCCATCTATAGAATCCAAACCTGCAATGTGTAAAAATCATGAGGAGCCCGCTAGTACTGCTCCAACAACTTGCGTGGGGAAGGAAAGATTGATGAACAATAATGAACAGCAGGCACCGGGACTCGTCTGGCGGATGAGAACGGCGGCGCCGTTGGTGGACGGAAACGGTGGCACGGTGACGAACTGATTATGAAAGACGGTAAACTTTTAGGATTAGGGTTTACAGTTCCTAATTTAAAAAATGAAAAAAAATTTAAAAAAAAAAAAAAGACTAATGAGTGGGCTACGCATTGCCTGTGTGAGAAAAGGGTCAGAATTTTACAAAATAAAAACAATTCAAGGGCCTAAACTCTTTAAAAGAGGTGTTTTCTTTTTTAATGTATGTCATAATAAAAATAAGTAAATGACAAGAAAAATCATATAATAATAATTTGTGTGTATTAAATTTTTATTAAAAATAATTAAATATTATTCATATATTCATAATATTTAATGATATAATTTTTAATAAAAAATTATTATTTTTAATTTCTTAATATTTATTTTTAATCATATCTTACATAGTCTTGTAACCTAATTTTATATATATATATATATATATTTATATTTAGACGTGTATAAAAAATAAATATTTTTTAGAGTCAACCTATTTTATATTAATTCTATAAATTTTGTATTTTAAGTTTTTTAATTATATAATTCAGGTAAAAAAATTAATTTTTAAATTTTTTTTTTTTGGTTATTTGTATTGTTAGGAATAGAAATAGGTTGGATTTCACGTATATAGGTTTAACTTATTTAATAATTTTAAAAGTTAAGTCTAACCTATTATCTATCCTAGATTTTTATTAAGTTTAGTCTAATCTTTTTAAAATTTGATTTGACCTATTAGTCTTTTTAATGTTCTATTTTGTATTGAGGTCAATGATAAGTTATTAAGCCTCATTACAAATAAGCTATTAAATTATATAAATAAGTATGTATCGATAAAATTCATAAAATTTATATTTAAATAAGTCATAAAAAATATTCAACACCTTAAATATTTATATTAAAATTGCATATTCTTATTTATTACTTTCAAACCACATATTTCATACATACACACACAATTAAAGAAGATAATGGGTGAGATGAACCTGCAATAAATGTCAAAATCTTTTTTTGGGAAGAATTTGTGACATATTATTCAATTAAAACCTGTATAAATTTTAGGCATTTAAAAAGAATTGAAACGTAACTTAGGATGATCAATGAAAAATAAAGATAACTCACATCTTAATGATAAAGTAGGACCTAAGGGACATCATTATAAAATTCTGAATATATATATATATATATATATATATATGTGTGTGTGTGTGTGTGTGTGTGTGTATAATTGTCTCTTAATAATATTTACAAGAGTTGCTTGACATGGAGCTTAAAAGAATACGAAGTTAAAAAGGATGAGTGTCACATAGCTTAGAGAACGCTAACTAACAAGTGTACTAGGTAGTTGTAACAAGTAATAAATTTTGGAATTCATTTGAATCTCAAGTATTGTCCTCAGGGATTAGTTCTTTCAATTACTACTTCACAACTCAATAACTAGTTGAGGTAAATAAATTTGGAGAGATTTTGAATCATTTAACAATTGAAGTAAAAAGTGCAATAAAATGCAAAGGTTTAGTTAAACAGAGTTTAGAAATGAGGTGATGTGTGAATGAAGTTAGGAATGGTTTCACCTATTTATCAATTGCAAAACTGAATGAGATCTGAACTTTAAGTTACTTAATGGATTGATGATCAATTTCACTAGATTAATCAAAGTTTAATTTTTTGACTCAATGATCCTAATATTCAATTAACTACCCTAATTCCTTAGGTGTAAATCAATCAAACATTGCATTAGGCATGAGAAATTAAGAGATCACAAGATCATGAATTCTTATCCCTAAGATTTCCATAACCTTGACATTTAATTCAAATCTAAGAAATTAACTCAACTTTCATTGATGAAAATCCTCTAGGTTTAATTCAATTGAATAGCTAATCTAAGAATTGCATTAAAGATAGAATTAAATGTTCAATACAATCAAGATCTTAAAATCTAGATTCACAATCAATTTACAATATCAAAATCAGATCTATCAATCCTTAATAAAAAGAAATCAGAGCATGTTCTTAAAAGAAAAAGAGAAAGAAAGAGTAGAAGAAGAGGAGTTGCAGAAATTCTTCATAAATCTAATACGTAGCTTGATTTCTCAAGGTATAGAGCTTGAAAGTTGCCCACAATCTTCCTTTCTAACTCTCTTAGGGTGTAGAAATGAAGAAAAAAAAAGAAAAAATATTCCAAAAATACTGACTTTCTAGCTTTTCATAAAATTCCTATGCTTCTGGCGTGGTTACTATCAATGCTGAAAGTAACCACGCACAAGGTATTTTCCTGACAGCACTTTGTAATGATCATTTTTAGTGCTGATAGTAACTACGCACTTAGAGTGATCACTCTCAATGCTGATAGTAGCTACATGTAATTGTGTTCCCTCTAACAGACTTGTGCGTGTTTACTCTGAGTATTCAAAGTGTTTACATGCAACCCTTCTCTTGGATTTTGCCTCTAAAATGTTCACTTTGAGTATTCAGAGTGTTTATGCGCAACCCTTCTCTTGGATTTTTCCTCTGAAGTTTTCACTCTGAGTATTCAAAGCGTGCAACCCTTCTCTTAGATTTTGCCTCTGAAGTGTTCACTTTGAGTAGAAATAGTGAACACTTTCATTATATTTTGCTAAATCTACTCTAGAGTTGTCATTTTACGCACCCATAGTGATAACTTTCAAGATACATCTTTGGATTCTTCACTCTTTTTGTCCAGATTTGTCACTTTCTTCTATTTTTCTCTTCTTGAATCCTTATCCTCAAGACTCTTAGCTTAGAATCTCCTACAAAACTAGTTCAATCAACAAAATTCATTAGAATTCTATTAAATTCACACAATTTGAGTTACTAAAGGCAAAAATTGACTTTATTGAACATTTACATATTTTTGTGCAATTTTTACCTTCCAAATTACATTTTTTTTTGTCAAAAATAACATAGAAAACTACTTAAAAATATAGTAAAATATGGATTTACCATCACCCCAAACTTCGATTTTTAGCTTGTCCTCAAGCAAACTAGAACACACCAATGGGGTCAATCAATCCATCATCAAAACAACAATGAAAATCTTATATATATTTTTTCAATTTGTACAGAATTATTCATTCCACATCATTCTTTCCAATTATCCTTTCAACAGATCATTCATGCATTCAATCATAATGAAAGTTACACTTAAACAAATCTTTTTATGCATAATCTTACAAATCTGAGCTAATGAACAACAAAGCTACATGTGAAAATTAATGAAAGATGTCATCACCACTCCTAAGAAAGTGTTTCCCTTTCACTCATAAGTGTTTAAGGTGAGTGTTTACTTTCAAGATCATCAACTTTACCTCACCCTACAATATGCTTACCCATATTTTCAATCTCCTCTGCTTAAATATAGTCAATCACACATCAGGAGGACTTTTACAAGTTATAATGGGGCGAAGGTTAAAGTAAGTATTGAACAAAATGGGAAACAATACAAGCAATTCCAAAAAGAAAAGAGATATTTTGAATGAGTGAACTTAAAACTAGCATGGAACTGCATTATTTTTCAATAATTCTTCAATTATGCAACAAATAGAATTTTTTCAAGTCAAAAGCATTGTTACATTTATGCAAAATAATTCCAATTCTTTTATTTTGCTTTCATTCACTATTTTCTTTTTAGTTTTTTCATTAATTTTCTTTTTCTACAGCATTTTGCTACATATTTTCTTTTGTTTTTTTTATTTCCTTTGCAATCATAACTCATATAGCTTTGCTATTCTCCACCCCAAACTTAGTATTAAACTTATCATTAATTAGACTCAATATGCCTCTTTTCCTTTGGATGGTTAAAATGGATTTTCATCAAGGCTTGTAATAAGGAAAAATCAAGGAAATAATATTAAACTTAAAGGGGGTGAACTAGGACTTTCAAGCACAAATGGATGGTTCATTTAGGCTAACTAGGCACAATCAAAGAAAGCCTCCATCATATATGTGACAATTGTAAAATTGCATATTCAACCAAGAAATAACGCAAGTTCTAGAAGATGCGGCAAAATTATGATCAATTACACATGAAAGAATGTATTCTACAAAGCTCAAATTCTTACCATTGGAATAAAGGTGATAATATCAATCAATCATGTTCACAATTCACCTTAAAAATTCATATGCACAAAATGGTAAGAACCTCCTTATTTTTAAAAATGAAGTGTGACAATCACATGAAGAAGTACACAAACAATTCGTTTACTCAGAAATCAGAAATAGAGAAATGGAAGAAAGATTTTGAATTATTCATCACAAAATGGAAAAAAAAGCTAATACACAAACAATTATGAACATATACATATTTTTATGTTTTCTTAGTTTAGTTAAGCAGGAAATATGATACAATTCATCACATGTATCAAGAGGTAAAGAAAGAAATAACCCCCCCTTTTCATAAAAAGTGTTTACAATGAGTGCTCTAACAAAAGTCTTGATAAGTCTATATTTAGGCCCTCTTTTATAGCTCATATATTTATGTTTGATTTTTATTTTATTTGGATTTTATGCTAATTTATATTTTAATTATGTAGTTTAGTATGAAGGGCCACAAGTGGATTTTGGGTGCGTTTTAGGCCCAAATTGATGCAAGATCAAAGCTTTGCAGCAATCAATATGCCTAGACCTTTTCAACAAAGACGGGGTGCTTCGAGCCTATGCATGGTCATGCTTAAGGCCTTGCACGGCTGTGCTCATTGCGGGAAGCCCAATTATAAAGAGCTTTTAGGGTTTTCAAACCCTATAAAAGAGAGACCTTAGCCATCCTGTTGAGACGTTTTGAACATCTTGTCTTTTGCTCTCTGATACACCTCTCATCTCGTCTCTCTTCCACGAAATCTTTGACATACTCTCAGTGGGTCTTGGAGATTCGAGCGATCGTACTTGACGACCAAAAACTCATCTCATTCTAGTTTATTTTTCTCTATGGCTTTGTCTATGATTATCTATTTCTTTCCTTTAGCATGAGTAACTAAGTCCACAGTTGGGGCTTTAAGAACTCTTGTTCATGAATTTATGGGATTTTGATGTTTGAATCTAAATTTGGTTTCTGTTTGTACTTAGTTTTTATCTTATTGCACATAATTATATAATCCTAATTAATTATATCGTCAGGCAACCGTACCATGATTAATTAATGGATCTATAGGATAAAACGAGACAAAGGATTAGGTGGACCACACCAATCTTTCTCTTCTAATTGTTATTAATTTAACAAGTTTATAGGTGCTTTAAGCTTTCTTGAATTAATATCTTGCATGACCATTAGGGATGTTAGTTCAGAGAAAATAATAGTAATATTGCATGACCATTGGGTATTAATAGTAATTGTATGAATGGTTGGTAATTACAAGAAAATCAAAATTAGAGTTAAACAGAAAAATAGCATAAAAGATTGAATGAGAAAACTCATATGCCCTAAGTTCCTCTCTGATAAGTTCAACCAAGACGTGTATTGTATTATAAATTTATAATTGATTTTATAATTAAATTCTTATTTTTAATTCATCTCATATCCTTTAAGCCTAAACAATTAAATTAGAAAATTCTTAATAATTAAAAAATAATCCTTATAGGATGATATTTCAGAAACTTATTTTTGAACTCTTTATTACTTCTTGACGAGTACACTTGCCCTCCAAACAACTCTCTTCTTAAATTTGTCAAATATAGCCTCTACGTAACCAATTTTGACGCTAAGAGTGAAAGTTCCAGTGACCCAAACTCCTTAAATCCTTCAACATGATTACGCGTAACCACTTTTATGCAAAAAGTAGTTACGCGCAGCTCTTCTAACCAAGAAGTACTTGCGCGTTGTTAATCTTGATGGATATAATGTATACGCGCAACCTCATAATGATTACTTTTTGTGCCAAAAGTATTCACTCCAGTAAGTTAACTCAGAAATCTCCTCATAAATTGGTACTTTTGCTTCCAAAAGAACTTACCTATAACCAAAAACTTAGATTATGCAGAAAAATAAAATCAAAAACCAAAAATTAAAAAAAATTAAAGAGAAAGAAGTGTGAGTTGTAACGCCCTAAATTTTGGTAATGATATTTTGGTTTTTAATATAAATATGTGGATTACTAGTTGGATGTGCGTTTGACTTGTGTGGTGATGTGTATAAGTGTGTAAATACATGTGGATGTATATATATTTGTGCATTATGGTTGAAAGGTGAATAAGCACTTGTGATTGGATTGGAATGTAGGCTAAGCGTGTGATGCAGGGGCATTCTCGCTAGGCGTAGGGCATGAATCTGTTGCGTTCTCGCTGCAGTGACAATCTCCTCGTTGTAGTAAGAGGGCAATAGAGGAGGGTGCATTTCTGAATGTAGTCTCGCTGTAGTGAGATTCTGCATAAACTAGAGTGCATATTCTTTTGAGATTTTTATTGCAGCAAGGAAGGGTTTCATTGTAGCAAGAGTGTTGCGAATCCTAGGGTATTTGAGGGGTTTAGAGTTCGGGAAACTCATTTCCCACTTTTCCTTTCGAACATTCTTTCTATTCTCTCGATTTTCAACCTTTTTCCACCTATTAAATTGCCTCAAAAGCCATTCGTGAGTTAGATTGAAGGTTGGAATCACGTTTGGAGCATTTGGAGGTGAGTTTAAAGAGCTAGAGTTTATGCTTTTCATCCTCTCTCTATTCTCCTCGGTTACTCATGGAGTTTTCTATGTGTCTAAGATGAAAATTCGTATGTGGAGCACTTCCATTATTGATTTATGTTGTGAGTCTTCATTCTGAGGTAAGGGGGGACTCTACCCTATCTCTTGTGTTTAAATTTCGTATATAATGTTATGCAATGGATTGTGATTGAGTTAGAGCATAGGAAAGTGTGTGCATTGGTAGAAATTTCATATTAGTTATAATGTAGTAGATGTTGGGTAATGTGTGTGATGCAAATTATGTGAATTGCATTATGGTGGTAATGGAAATCATGTGTTTAAGTATAATGTAGTTGATATGTGTGAACATGCCATTGATTGAGAATGAATACTATGAAATGATTGAGAATGTGGATGAATGTGTGTGAATGGTATGTTGAATATGATTGTGTTTGAAATGTTGGAAAACCTATGAATAGTTCAGCAATACATTGGGAGTGTGGGAGATAGGAGCAATAGAAATACCTTGGGGAAGAGAAGGTGATGGTGCACCAATAGTGAGCGTGAGTGCACCACAGGCCACACACTCTCCTCCTGACTCAGCCTCTGACTAACACCTTTGCTAGGGGACTTAGTACTGCACATGTTGCATCCGTGGAGCAGGGGCTATTCGACGACCATCCATGATGTGAAACTGAGTAATTTTCTGAGGTTGAGGGCATAAGGAAACTGCGATCACAGTGCCACAGTGAGTGTGGCTAATGTGCAGTGAGCGCATGTATGTATGACTTGATGTGTAAACATGTGAGTGTTTTGTGGAAAGGAATGAAACGTTTGGAATGTTTGAAAAACATGAAAGTATGTTGTTTGAAGTATGATTTGAATTATGTTGGAAATGTGTGGAAGCATGCAAGGTGAGTCTTTATGCTTGTGTGTGTTTGATAATGTAGAGTGCTCACCCTTACATTTAATTTTAATGGGACCAAGACGATCAACATCAGACTTAGTAAAGGGATGGATGAAAAATGCTATAGGACTTAGAAAGTTTATTTTTGGAAATTATGATGTATTTAAATTAGTCTTATAGCACTGATTTGATTCAAAATTTGTAATATATCCTTATTTTTAAATATTTTATTAAACTACATATTGAGAACCCTTTAATAAAAATTTTATTATTCCTACTTGTTGCAAAATTTACTTAGTTAGAAAATTGAATTAAAGTGTTATACTTTTAGTATCAGAGCAGTTCATCCAAAATCGGACTGGGGTATTGGGGCTGAAGTGTCCAAGCTATGTGTTGATGTGTTTTATTTACTTTAATTACTAGTGTTGTTATTGATATGATGTGTTAAAATGTGGTTTGTCGAATTGTTTGCAAAATTATATTAGAAATGACCAATAGAGGTAGAGGTGCTGGAATCACCAACGACCTTCTAGAGTGAATGACCCAAGTTCTAGAGACCTTGGTGCATAACCAAGATGGAGAACCGACTGAATACCGAGGGCTGTCTGTCTCCACTAGGAATAACCCTCCAAAGTTTGAAAGGAAGTTTGACCCTGAGGGAGCCTAGAGATGGGTAGCAGATGTGGAGAAACTCTTCCATGCAATGGGGTGTAGGGAAGAACATAAGGTGACCTACGCCACATACATGTTATGTGGGGAAGCGGAAGACTAATGGAGGTTTGCCAATCAGACTTTGCCACAAAAGGGTGGCTATATTCAGTAGGAGGCGTTCAAGACAAGCTTCCTGAGAAACTATTTTTCCCGAGATTTGAAGAATTAGAAGGCCTGGGAGTTCCTTGATTTGAAGCAAGGGAATCTAACAGTGGGAGCCAAGTTTCAAGAGCTGATAAAGTACTGACCTCACTATCAATATGAGGATGGAAAAGAAGACCTGTGTGCTCAGTTTGAGCATGAGCTAAGGCCAGAGATCCGTGCTGCTATCAATATGTTTCAACTAACTGACTTGCCCACTTTGGTGAGCAAGTGTAGAATTTTTTAAGCCAATTCGAAGGGCAAGACCATGGACACCAAGGGGAGTGGTCCAATGAGGCAAGATAGAAGACCCCCTACGTTCTCGAAGGGGCCGTATTCGAGCTCTAGCCATTCTCAGTCCAAAGGGACTTCATCTTAATAGAAAAGCAGTAGGAGTGGCTCAGGTTCAAGCTCTTTCATACGGCCAATCAAATGTTTTAGGTGTGGAGGGCCACACATGTTGAGGGACTTCCCGTAGCCACGAACTAACTGTGGCAACTACAGAAAGTTGGGGCACACTGCTAATATGTGATGGACTACTAAGATGAGTGGTAATACGAGTACAACCCAGAGACCTGAGTCGAGAGGAAGCACAGGGCCAAAGCCGAGTATTCCTGGGAGAGTTTTTGCTATGAGTAGAGCAAAGGCTTCACAGTCTGTGGAGTTAATTCAAGGTAAATGTGTTCTAAAAGGCAGATTGTTGGATGTCTTATTTGACTCGGGTGTTATGCACTCTTTTGTTTCCGTGGATTGTATGAAGTGTTTGGGTTTGTACGTGGCTGAATTATTGTGCAATGTTGTGGTGACTACCCCTATGGGTAAATCGGTCGTAATCTCTTGGGTATGTTTAGGGTGTTCGATAATGGTGCACGAAAAGATTTTGAGGTAGACTTGATCTGTTTGCCTCTTTCTCAATTGGATGTGATTTTGGGAATAGATTGGCTAGCTGCCAACCATGTGTTGCTAGGCTGCAGAGAGAAGACATTGATTTTTGGTACGTCGAAGTCTAAAATTTCAAGGCTTTTGAGTCAAGGTGTGTGGGAGAACACAGTGTATGCTAAGGCCTTTATGGTCATGTTCTCATTGGAGGTTGAAAGTGGAGTGGAGTCAAAGTATATCATAGTGGTGAAGGACTTCTTGGAAGTCTTCCCTAAAGATGTATTAGAATTGTCACCTGAGAGGAAGATAGAGTTCACCATTGACCTCATTCCGTGAGCGAGCCTGATTTGTTTGACACCTTATAGGATGTCACTAGTAGAGTTGGCAGAGGTCAAGAAGAGAGTGGAGGACTTATTGCAAAAGCAGTTTGTGAGACCAAGTGTGTCACCATAGGGAGCGTCAGTGCTTTTGGTGAAGAAGAAAGATAGGAGCATGAGGATGTGTGTTGATTACAGGCAGTTGAATAAAGTGACGATAAAGAACAAATATCTGCTTTCGAGAATCGAATGATTTGATGAACTAATTGAGAGGAGCTGCAATGTTTTCAAAGATCAACTTGAGATCGGGGTACCATCAGATCAAGGTGAATGATGAAGATGTACCTAAGACAGCCTTTAGAACACGTTATGGTCACTATGAGTACTTGGTGATGCCGTTTGGAGTGACCAATGCGCTTGTTGTGTTCATGGACTACATGAATAGAATCTTTCATGAGTTTTTGGATAAGTTTGTGGTCATATCCATTGATGACATCCTAACTTATTCGAAGACCAAGGAAAAGCATACCGAGCACTGGAGGATCGTATTGCAAATTTTGAGAGAAAGGCAGTTGTAAGAAAAGGACAATTCCTTGTCTCATTGATCCTAATGTCTAACTAAACTACCCTAATTTCTCATATATAATTCAACCAAACATTGCATTAAACACTACAAATTAAGAGATCACAAGATCACGAATTCTTATCCCTAAGATATCAATAACCTTTACATTTAATTCAGATATGAGAAATTAACTCAACTTCCATTGATGAAAATTCCTCTAGGTTCAATTCAATTGAATAGCTAATCCAAGAATTGCATTAAGGAAAGAATTAAACGTTCAATACAATCAAGATCTTAAATCTAGATCCATAATCAATTTACAATATCAAAATCGGATCCATCAATCCTCAACAAAAAGAAATTAAAACATGTTCCTAAAAGAAAAAGAGAAAGAAAAAGTAGGAGAAAAGGAGCTACAAAATTTCTTCATAAATTCAATCCCCACCCTAATTCCTCAAGGTCCAAAGCTTGAAAGTCACCCCTAATCTCCCTCTCTAACTCTCCTAAGGTGTGGAAATGAAAAAAATGAGAAAAGATTCCAAATCTGAACTTCCAATCGCTTTTTATACTTTTCCCGCCTTCTTCCACATTGACACTTTAATCACTGAGAGTTGTAACATAGAAGGCCTTCTAGAAGCTTCTAAGGCCGAAGTAGGAACTTTAAATGCCCAAAGTTGACACTTAAAAGCAGTTTCCCAAATTCTGATGTTTTGCGTAAACACTTTAAATAGCAAGAGTGTCCATGCACATGTGTTTTTTGTGAATTTGCCTTGCGCATAGCTACTTTCAGTAGCAAGAGTGTTTACACGCAAGGTTTCTAGACAAATTAGCCTTGGTCATAGCTACTTTCACTAGCAAGAGTGTTTACGCACAAGGTTTATGGACAAATTAGCCTTGGGCGTAGTTACTTTCACTAATAAGAGTGTTTACGCACAAGACCATTCGTGAATTCTGTTGCTGGAGTGATAACTTTCAACACTTAGAGTTGTTACACGATTGATCTTCACGGATTTCCTTTTTCAAAGTGTTAACTCAATGCACCCAAAGTTGCTACATCCAGCACATATCACTTGATTCTTGATCTTTTAAGCTCAAATCTTCCACTTTCTTCAATTGAATCTTCTTCAATCCTTATCCTCAAGACTCTTAGCTTAGAATCTCCTGCAAAACTAACAAAATTACATCAGAATTCTATTAAATTCACGCAATTTGAATTATTAAAGACAAATATTGACTTTATTGAATATTTATATATTTTTGTGCAGTTTTTCACCTTCCAAAATACATTTTCTATCAAAAACAACCTAGAAAACTACTTAAAAACCTAGTAAACTTTGCAATCATCAATGTGTACCTGGTGAGGATTGCAAATCACCGTGTTAAGCAGCTGAGGGGCAAGAATATCCCATTGGTGAAGGTGATATGGAGCAAGTGATGAGGGAGATACTACATGAGAAACAAAGAGTAGAATGAGAGAATTGTATCCAGAGTTGTTTGTATAGTTTGATTGAATTGTAGGGACAAAATTCCCTAAAGGAAGGGCGAGTTGTAACGCCCCAAATTTTGGTAATGATAATTTGGTTATTAATATAAATATGTCGATTATTAGTTGGATGTGCGTTAGACTTGTGTGGTGAATGTATATGTGTGTAAATACATGTGGATGTATATATATTTGTGCATTATGGTTAAAAGGTGAATGAGGACTTGTGATTGAATTGAAATGTAGGCTAAGCGTGTGATGTAGGGGCATTCTCACTGTAGGGAGAAGGCCTTAGGCGTAGGGTATGAATCTGTTGTGTTCTCGCTGTAGTGATAGTCTCCTCGCTGTAGCGAGGTGGCAACAGAGGAGGGTGCGTTTCTGGGTGCTGTCTCGCTATAGCGAGAAGGTCTTGTTGAAGCAAGATTTTGCAGAAACCAGAGTACAGATTCGTCTCAGATTTTCATTGCAACGAGGAAGGGTCTCGCTGTAGCGAGAGTGTCACGAATCCTAGGGTATTTGCTGGGTTTAGGATTCAGGAAACTCATTTCCCACTTTTCCCTTCAAACACTTTTTTGATTCTCTCAATTCTCAACCTTTTTCCACTGATTAAATTGCCTTCAAAGCCGTTTGTGAGTTAAATTGAAGGTTAGAATCATGTTTGGAGGTGAGTTTAAAGAGCTAGGGTTTACACTTTTCATCCTTTCTCTATTCTCCTTGGTTGCTCATGGAGTTTTTCATGTGTTTAGGAAAAAAATTCATGTGGGGAGCACTTTCATTATTGATTTGTGTTGTGGGTCTTCATTCCGAGGTAAAGGGGACTCTACCCTATCTCTTGTGTTTAAATTTTGTTTATAAAGTTATACAATGGATTGTGATTGAGTTAGAGCGTAGGAAAGTGTGTGGATTGATAGAAATTTTGTATTAATTATAATGTAGTAGATGTTGGGTAATGTGTTTGATGCAAATGATGTGAATTGCAATATGGTGGTAATGGAAATCGTGTGTTTGAGTATAATGTAGTTGATATGTGTGAACATGCCATTGATTGAGAATGTGGATGAATGTGTGTGAATGGTATGTTGAATATGATTGTGTTTGAAGTGTTGGAAAAATTATGAATGGTTCAGTGATACATTAAGGGTGTGGACGATAGGGGTGGTAGAAATACCTTGGGAATGAAAGGGTGATGGTGACACCAACAGTGAGCGTGGGTGTACCATAGGCCACATACTCTCCTCTTGACTTGGCCTCTGACTAACACTTTTACTAAGGGCCCAAATTCCGCACACGTTGTATCCGTGGAACAAGGGCTATCCGACGATCATCCATAGTGTGAAATTGAGTAATTCCTTAAGATTGAGGGCATAAGGAAACTGGGATCACAGTGAGCGTGGCTAACGTGCAGTGAGTGCATCTGTGTATGACTTGATGTGCAAACATGTGAGTGTTTTGTTGAGAGGAATGGAACGTTTGGAATGTTTGAAAAGTGTGAAAGTATGTTGTTTGAAGTATGATTTGAATTATGTTGGAAATGTGTGAAAACATGCAAGGTGAGTCTCTATGCTTGTGTGTGTTTGATAGTGTAGAGTACTCATCCTTACATTTATTTTTCAAGTGACTAGACGATCAGCACCGGGCATAGTAAAGGGATGAATGAAACTATTATAGGACTTAGAAAGTTTATTTTTGGAAACTATGATGTATTTAAATTAGTTCTGTAGCAATGATTTGATCAAAATTTGTAATTCATTCTTATTTTGAAATACTTTATTGAACTACATATTAGGAACCCTTTAATGAAAATTTTATTATTCCCACTTGTTGCGAACTTGAGTTATTTGGAAAATTGAATTAAGGTGTTACATGAGTTGCCTCTCACAAAGCACTCTTTTAATGTCACTAGCTTGACACTTATAGATCTTTAGCTCTAGGACTTGAAATCTCCACCATACTTCTTGTGAAAGCAACTTGGCATTGCTCTATTGGGTTCACCATGGTTTTGCTAGGCAATCTCTCATCATTCCTATTTAACAATTGTTCTGAAATTTGTCCTATTTGCATCTCCATCTTCTTCATGGATGCCTCTTGATTCTTTAAATTTGACTGAGTAACTTCCTATGAATTGGAGCAAATTTTCTTCAAGTTTATTCATTCTTTTTGGAAGAGTTTGTAAAGGTTATTATCCTCTTTGAAGTTAAGAATATGATGCTTGAAAATAAGGCTATGAAAATTGAGGACTGAAGAATGGTGTTGTTGCAACAAACATTTATTGATTCCAATTATAATATGGCTGACTCATGTTAGCTTGATATTGATATACAGGAGGAGAGGTAGGTTAAGGTCTTTGAAAATTTTCTCCATAATTGATTTAATCTTGAAAATTTTGGTGTGTGATTTTCACTGTCAAAATCACACACCAAAGAGTGAACACTTTCACTTCTTCCTCTGTACACAGGCTCTAAAGTGTTCACTTTGAGTGCATAGAGTGAACACTTTCACTATATTTTGCTGAATCCACTCCAGAGTTGTCACTTTATATGCCCATAGTCATAACTTTCAGGATACATCTTTGGATTCTTCACTCTTTATCCATACATCCACCCATTTTCAGCTAAATCAAAATTTATATACAAATATCACAATATCCAAAGTGAATAATAAAGGTCATCTAAGGTATGCTCCCTTTACCTGAAAATGAGTTTTCTAAGATCACTCCCTTCATGAGTCCTAAGAGAGAGCTATGGCGTTCAACTACGAAATATCACCCAAAGAACTCATATCTTCTTAGTATGGCAAGGTAGAAAGCTCTTGAGAAAGAGAGATTAAGGGATAAAGAGTGAAGTTGGAGAACTATGCTCTAGAAACTTACTTAGATCTAACAGAATAGTCGTTCACACTCGAATTGAGAAAATGTTTGAGCTTTGAAAGGTTTCCTTTGAGAATTGAAGGTAAGAGAACAAGGAGAAAATGA